GAGATAGAGGTGTGAAAATATAAAAGCGAACATAGAAGTCAACACTTAGAGGCGACAGACTGTTTCATGCCAGACGCAATCGTCAGGCCACAAGTACCGTTATTTTTCTCGGCTATTTATATATACGAGTCAGTAATGCCTTGTGGGTAGTCTATTTTGGCCGTTATTTTACCGGAAGTCGTCTATTCATTTATTTATTTGGGTTAAATTATATTTTAAATTATTTTGCTTTTTTTTATTTATTTTTATTGTTTATTTTTTATTTTTATTTCTTATCTCATACATATATATATATATATATATATATATATATATATATATATATATATTATTAGTAGGTGTTTTTATTAACGGAGTAAAAATTTGTATATATCGCTTATTTAATTGTTTGTTTTGGTTTGGGAATATAATTAAAGCTATTTATTCAATTTTGGGGTTGATTGTTGTAGTTTATTCTAACTATTATTTTGGCGGAAACAGTTTCTAATTTGTTTATTACATCATATATTTATTTGGATTGATTATCTTTATTTGTTTTTCTAACGGTTACTTTATCGGGATCGGTTTGTTAGTTTATTTATTCATGTGGATGAATTTAGATTAATTTATTTGTTTTTTTTTAATATTTATTTATTATACTGTATATTTTATTTACATTTTTCGGTTTTCGATTTTTAACTAACGTAGTGTTTATTTTTCTTTTATCGTTATATAACAGTTATAGTTATTTTTCTTCCGATTTTTGGCTTAATTTTTATATTCTAACTAATATTTTGGCCATAATGGTTTGTTAATTTGTTTATTATTTACTTTATTTATTTGGGTTCATTGATTTTTTTTATTTATTCTATTTCGTCTATTTTAACGGGTGTGATTTGCTAATTTGTTTCGGTTAATTTATTTTGCTTATTTTATTGTCATTTTGTTTATTTATTTATTTTTATTTTATTTTATTTTATTTTTTCAGTTTTCAGTTTTTAACCAACGTGATAAAAATCTGTTTTCATGTCTGCATTTTGTGATGAGCTTGGATCTTTTACTTAATAATTTATTTTGGTCTGGGAAGCTATTTTTCCTCCAAGAAAAGTTTGCAAGTTTTTGATTGGTTGTTGTAGGCTGATGATCTTTTCCTCATTTTCCAAGATATTTTTGGTGCGATGTTCGTTTTGTTTTTAATTTCCCAGATATACTTAGAAACATTGTACTGTTCGCATATTTACGATTTGTGAAAGATGTTTTGTGTGCATAATTTCTTTGTTTCCAGGGTCTTTCAGTTACTCCTATGTATACTTTTTCTTCATTATCTGGTAATTTTATCGTGGCTTGGTATACTACGTTGTTTTGTAAACAATTACCGTTTATGGGGCATTTGTTCTTTATTCTGCAGTTGCACGTGGGTTTAATTTGTTCGTGTGGTTTGTTGATAATTTTTCTGTTGTGCTTTTTTATTATTTGTGCCATGTTCTCGGTGCAACTGTAGCTGATTTTTTTGTTGAATATTTTGTGTAGGGTGCTTGATTCCGAGAAGTGTTTGTCTAAGAGTTTGAAGAATATTTCTCCTACCTTTGTTTTTACGTTTTTGCTGTACGGTGGGTTGAACCATATGATGTTTCTTCTCCTGTTGGCCTTTTTTGTATTCCGTGGTGAGTATGTGAGTATTGCTGGGAATCCGCTTTCTTTTAGGGCTGTTTCATAGTCTTTCTTAGCTTTGTTAAATATGGATTCATTGGAGGAAATGTCGGAAAGCCTTCGATTAATCGATTTTGGTATCTGTTTGATTATAGAAGGCGCGTGGTTGGAAGATATGTGTATATAGAATGGTTTATCATAGGGTTTTCTGTATGGTTTATATGTGCCTTTTCTTAGGTTGAAGGTAACATCTAGAAAATCTACGTTTAGGTTAGTTTTTATATCCATGTCGAATCCATTATTTTTGAAAATCTTTATTATTGCTTTTCTAGTTTTGTCTGTGTTTTGTTTGTTACAGTTTCTTAAGATTATGAGACCGTCGTCCCTGTAGAGTCCTATTTCTTTTTTATCAATTATTTTGCTTATTTCGTTTAGTATGTAAATACCTAGGATTTCGCATGACGCACCATCAAATCTTCCCATTGTAGTGTCAACTATCCCATCTTTCTTTAATCATGCTTCTTCATTGGGAAATAGTAATGATTTCGTTCGGTTTTATTATTATTTGTTCCTGAGCTAAGTTGATGGCCTTATCTAACATGTGTTCTGTTATGGATGGGTAAATTTTTTATGTTTAATTGTAGGAATTGGCAATTTTGTTTGTTATTTATGCTGTGGAACCAGTCAATAGTTGCTTTTGTGTTTTTCCACTGGTTTACTCCAAACTTCTTCCTAAGTTCAGAATTAATTCTTTCTAGTATCGTTTTACTTATTTTACCTACCTTTTGAGTCTGCATGCAGGGTTGGATTTGAAATTTTCTTTATGGTCTTTTAGTGTGATAAAGGCTTGCGCCTTGCTAATACAACTTATTCGGTCATCTAGGTTTAATCTTTGGGCGATTGTTTCAGCTTCCTTATTGATATCGTGTTCTATTGTTTTGTGTGGCTTTTTGTATATTTTGGTTATGTTGTTCTTGAGTAATTTATTATGCGTAGGAGGAGGGCTTAGTTTGTATAAATTTCTTGTTTTTTCAGCTGCGATAAATACATTTGCTGAATTGTTTATTTTAGGTATATCATCTTTTAGTTTTTCTTTTTTTTTTGGAATGCATCTTGTCTTTTATGGAATTTTATGTTTCTAACTATATCAGTTAAGTCTTTCTCGATGTCGTCTAATTCTTTTTGTTGCGGGGGGGGGGGGCATTTTTTTAGTTTTGAAGCCATATTTTTCCTTGAGTGTATTGTTATTGTGAAGGTCCTGGTTTAAAAAGAAGTGGGCTTTCCATCTCATTCTTTTTATGAAATTTTCTGTTTTTTCAATTAATTTTAGCTTATATATGGAATGGGGTGGGATGGGTATGTTTTTGTAGGGAGTAGTCGAGGTTAAATTTTTCTATGCCCATACTGTGTTATAAATGTAGCGAAATTGCTCTACTGATTATCAGGAGCTGAATATGAAGAAATATAGTCTTAAGATGTGGTATATTTATGGGATAAAGTGCTCAATATCAGAGATAGAGCGTGTGTAAATATAAAAGTGAACATAGAAGTCAACACTTAGAGGCGACAGGCTGTTTCATGTTAGATGCAATCGTCTGTGCATGAGTGGTTATTTTTTCGGATATATATATATATATATATATATATATATATATATATATATATATATATATATGTGTGTGTGTGTGTGTGTGTGTATGTATAAACGACTTCCGGTAAAATAACCGCCAAAATAGACTACCCACAATGCACCACTGACCCATGTATATGAATAAGGATAAAGTGTGCATTTATACGCGCAACAGTTATTACATCATCATTTAGCTTTAGTGAGAATGCTATCAAACGCATGGTGACAATCAAGAAAGGACGAGTGTTTCAAATTATTTCCCCATTCCAACGCCAGTAAGTTGTCTGTTTATAGTAAGTGTTATATTTCTCTATGTGTTTTCATGTATATATGTATGATCTAATAGCATACAACATAAGAGTTGGGAAATACGTTCCAATAATGAAAAATATTACAAAAATGGGTACTTTTTTCAGTTACGGGACACTAGCGTCCCACCAGCCTTTTAGGAGCACTGAGAATGGGTTATATGTGTCTGTTGTAGCATACCTACATACGATAATGGGTATGTCTCCATTCACATAAATACAGTAGTAAATACTGTATGTTGATCCGCAGTTGGAGATTCATTGTGGAATTCATTTGACTCACTTCTAACAGTTGTGTCCCAGCACACTTTTATGGTCCTATTTTCACTTTATTTATTATCCTAATACATGCACAAATAATAATGTTATTAGCCTACATTATGTAACACGTGAATAAATTATATTTGCAGATGTAAGTTGAATCGTATGAGTGAAGATGAAATAAATAAGATGGTGCAAGAAATGGATGAAGATTTCAGTGATGATGATTCATTTATGGATCCAAATTATGTAGACAAAAGTGACACTGAAACTGATTGTATATGCTTTTTACAACACTGTTTATCACAGTCCTAGTAGCCATCGACCAAAATGTCTGCTGGAGCACAATTGTCCCATTGCTATATTTATAATACAATCAATAATATTATTTTTCTAGATCAAAGTCATTTAGATATGTTTATTGAAACGAACAATAATATTTTTGATCACGCACAGACACTATTGTCTCGACTGTCGATTAGTTGTCCTACGGCCATTGTCTGCGATTTATGTTACTCCAAGGAAGCGTACGAAAATTTGTAACGCTGCACAAGACACTGGCAAGCCTTACCAGTGAGCAATTCAAAGTACTAGAGCGACCCGCTAACTCTCCTGGTATAAATCTACTCGTGAATCTTTGTCCAATCTGCAAGGAACGACTTGGTGGAATGGACATACGAAGTACTAACATGTGTACTGGGCCATGTTTTAATGGAAAAATACGGCAAAAAAGTAAATAATAACGGAATTATTCGGGTGTAATTGTTCCAATAAGGCAATGATATGGTATAAAGCAGACATAATGTCCCATTGCTATATTTATAATCAGACATTCAATAATTTTATTTTACTAAGTCAAAGTCATTTAGATATCTCAGCTGAAACGAACAATAATATCTTTTTCTGTATACATCAATTACGTGAATGTGAACTTGAAAGAGTTAAATAACACAGAATCGGTTGATAAGTTGTAATAAAATAAAATAACAGTAGCAGCATAAGCATGAATTTAAATTGTAAGATAAATAGTATTAGGACAGTTGGAGCCAGTTAGTGCATTTTTACCAATTCCACTAACTCAAGAATTGCTTCTGACTCCAACCCCCGCCCTAAACCTGGTTGTTGTTGAAGAAATATATAACAATCTCAAACACCAAACGGGCTCAAGTGATTCTTTGTTTGAGTCTTATTATGTATGTGGATATTTAGTCTAACACCAGTCGATGAGAGTGGGGTACCCAGTGAGGAGAATCGGTCTCACTACCTAAATTGATAGTCTACACCACTAAGATTGGTATGTCAGGAGGTCCAATTTACTCCATTCGAATCAAGGCTTTCTGTGATGTCTTGAAGTTAATCAGTGTTAAGCTCAGTCATTACTTAGTACTTCCTACAATCCTAAATATGTTTCAGCTTTTTTTTATTTTTAAGCATTACGCCCCAAGCAAGGCGTGAAGCCACTAGGATGCAGGGGAGTTGCAGAAGATTTGGAGCAAGTGCAGATAGGAGTGATAGAAGAAAGGATGAGGAGAGGGATAGTGGGTAGATCAAGGTAACTGGAGGTGTCGATTGACATTACATTTGAATAGTTGGAGATTATAGCTCTCAGGGAAACAGTAATTGGGAAGGGTGTTCCACGGGCGAGAGGTGCGAGGTATGAAGCTATTGGAGTAGAAGAGACGGCTACATTTAAAAGTTTCTACAGTGTAAGAGTGGGAGCGGGATACCAGCCTCGTAGGGCGCTTGAATTCATGGAGTCTGGAAACCAGTGAAAGCAGCTCATCGGAGCAATTACCATGAAAGTATTTGTAGAAAAGACAGAGAGAGGCGACGGCGCGTCTGTGAGAGAGTGACTGTAGACGAGACGCCAGATCAGGGCCAATTATATTACATATCCGTCTCTGGATCTTGTCAAGAACTCTGAGGTAAACAGAAGGTGACCCAGACCATATATTGCAGCAATACTCCATGCAAGGGTGAATGGTTGATTTGTATATTTGAAGTATCGATTCCGGGGAGAAAATTTTCCTGGCGCGGCACAGAGAGCCAACTTTCCTCGCGGTGGAAGAAGCAATTGACTCAATGTATATGTTTCATCTCAGGTCAGCAGTCAACGTGAGACCGAGCAGACGCAGGGAGTTGCTCTCAAGAAGTTGACTATCAGACATTCTAATGAGGGGCAGGGAAGGATCTCTATAGTGATTAATAGAGAGTAGTTTAGTTTTTGAGGCGTTAAAGTTGACCAGCCAATTCTTGCCCCAATTAACAACCGATTGGAGATCCATTTCAAGACGAGCGGCCAGGTTAGTTTCGTCAGTGACACTAGATTTGTTTTTGAGGCAGGAGTAAATTGTAGTGTCGTCCGCGTAGATGCCAACTTGGGAATCCTTCCAAGTCCCCTGGGACATATGTGTCCCACAGATGTTTTCAACACGTCCTGCAAGACATAATTTTACCCAAAACACATTGTTATGGGATAAAGCAGACATAGTGTCCCATTGCTATATTTATAATAACATTTTTCTAAGTCAAAGTCATTTAGATATGTCTACTGAAAAGAACAATAATATATTTTGCTGTATACTTCAATTACGGGAATGTGAACTTGAAAGGGTTAAAGTTGGTTTTTGGTGTGACATCAGCGGTTCAAGGAATTGCCAGAAGACATGGAAGAAGTGAGAAGTCAAAAACACAAGGATAAGGTGCAAATGTGCACAGAGACACCTTGGTGCACTCAAATGGAAGGTTAAGTGTGCGAAATCCGTTCAGAAATATCTAAACTGTCAGCTGCATCCAACCGCTTTCTCATATCAATGACTAAAAATGGCTTCGAGAAAATGAAGCGTATAGAACGTTGTGACGACCATCCTTCTTCTAATCGCGTGAACTGGCGCTACAGAATCACAAACAAAGGACAGTACCAAATAACAGAAGGACTTTCAATAAAAGTAACAACTAAAATGGGTACCACATGTAAAAAGAGAATAATCTAGATGTTGATCTTCCACAGTACTTTAAACAAAAGGTTAGGAAGGAAACCCCTATAAATATTGGAAAGGATCATATAACTAACTGGACTTGAGAAACCTATTTTTCATTAAAAACTGTTTTAATTGAAAGATTTTATAAATTTCAAGCGACGGTAATTCTGGATGCCCGGTCAATGAATAACGAATATTTCCTTATAAGGAAACAGCTAATATTTTGGTCATATAAATAATGGCTCGGAACTAGATACGATGCTGAAAGAAAATGATGATATAATCAAGATGTTGACGTTCTACACTATTCCAAACAAAAGATGAGAAAGTATACCCCCATCAATAGTAGAAAGATCTATAACAGCTAATGGACTTGAGAAACCAATTTTTCTGAAAAATATTTCAAGAGAAACTTTTTATAGATTTCCAGACCTCTGAGTGCTTGATCAGTTAATGCTGAATGATTCCATATAAGGAAACGGTTAATATTACCATTACCAAACGTTTAATATTACCATTACCATCGGTTTTGATATTTTATCACATTAAATAAACTTAGTATACCTCAGTGGAACCCACTTGACATGGAGAAATAGTTAAACTTATCCTGTAACTCATCATTAAGATACTAAGTTTTATCGCCTTTGTGTATTAAACACTTGCAGCTTTGTGCTATACGTAAATAAGTTTA